CTGGCCTTCGTGGCGCGCCCGGGCTGCGCTCTTCCAGCGGCGAAGTCGACTCCGGGATTGCGCCCCGTCGCCACAGCAAGAACGCCAATCTTCCGAAGCCCGCGAGCGATGCGGGTGCGAATCGCCTCGGAGCTGCCGAGGACTCTGCTCTTGTCCACAGCGAGTCGCATGTCCACTCTCGCCATCGCACCTGTCAGAAGCGAGGCAGCTTCACAGAGCTCGTCTCCAACGCGGCCCTCGCCGCAGGAGCGCCGGTGGCTGAAACCGTCAACGTTGACGGACAATGCCGCCGAGCGGCGCGCAGCTTGCACCCTGCCCAGGGGCCCCAGGAGAAGCAACTGCAACGTAAGCGTAGCAACGGTGCATCCAGGGACCATCGTCTGTTTCACGCGGATAACTTCGCTGCGTACCCCTCGGAAGTCCAGAACACGAGGAGCCCGATAAACATCGATCAATAACCTAAGCTGCCACGAAGGACAGCCTGAGACGGTGGCAGCCTGCGGCAGATGATGTTGAACGAACTCGAACGCCGCTTTCAAATCGAGCGGGATCGCGCCCGAATGATGTCCCAGGATGGTGCAAAACTCAGACCAGGGAATGGATATTCAAACGTATTTCTCGGACGACCGTCCCTTGGTGGCCCAGAAGAAAAGCCGAAAGTCGTTCAGCTGCCAGGTTGCAACCATCGGTCGCCGTAGGCGACACTGCACTCGACAAAGAACGTGGAACAGGCCAAGGGGTCGGGCAGCTCCTGCTCTCTTCATAAGAAATACGATGCGGCTGCGCATCCGCGGCCACTCGAGCCTGTGCTCGATGTGCGAGATGATGTCACATAGAAGCTGGAACCCGTGATCTGGCAGGAAGAGGAAGTTCCTGGGACTAGCCCGATCAAAACCTGCGCCTGTCCTGACGGGGAACGCACGGAGGACGGCTTCGAATTCAGAAACCGATGGGGGCAGGGGGGCGATCTCCGAGGAAATCGGGCCAGTCCAAAGGCTGTCTTGCACGATGTATATCCCACCATCCTTTTCCACTCGGCTTGCAGACTGTCGACCTGCCCCTGGCAGTTGGCGGGCCGCAGCGTGCAATGATCCAGAACTGCTGGCTGCCACTCAACAGGCAGCGCAGGGGGCGGGGGCGGGGCAGACGCGCCATTGGCCGAGTGCGCGTCGGTCCACTCGCGTCACTGCCGCTCCTTGCGCCTGGCAGGCTGCTGGTGCTGATGCAGGGCCTGCTCTTCAGCCCGCCCCTTGGGGGCTTCTCTGAGGCCAGCGGGGACCTGCTCAATGACGCCCAAGACAGTGGCCCACCTGGCGTAGAGGCCACGCAGGGAGCCTGCGGAGCCTATAGATGCAGGAAACCCACATGTGGAACTTGTCGGAGACCTGATGCTGAGCCCTGCAGAGATCCAGAAGCGCCGGGCGCACCTGCCCCCGCCAGACTGCCGACGCCGATAGCCTCGGGGACCTAGGATGCCCAGGGCGCCGAGCAGACTGGGAACGGGGCTTGACGGGCATAATTCGCCCACAATACTTATCCAACTCGTCCGAGGCCATTTGAAATATCCGGACCCAGTCGCTTTCGGCGGTAGAGATACACACACCCCACTAGGCATCGCTCGAATCTGCGTCTGAGATCACTTGCGAGGCATGGTCCCATATGCTGTTGTCTGTCTCGTTCTCGCAGCCAATGAGGATTGAACTGGAAGGCGCCTAGGTACCTTGATCGCGCGCACCTGCGCGTCGCTGGACGCAGCAGCGCTGCGCGAGGGCACGGGCGAGCGGGGGGGGGGGGGGGGATCTCCTCGAGGACCCTGACGGAGTGCTCACCCAGGAGGCTAGAGGAGACCACGAAGAAATCGATCGCGCGTCCAGCAGGCGCGCAGGCGCCTGCGCTGGGGACCACCATGGTAGCACCAAGCGCAGCGGCCCATCCTGAGGAGGCCAGCTCGTTTGGCCCGATCTTCCAACCACCGCCTACGATGAAGGGAATGTGTGCTCGCTTGAGAACTGCAGCCGAGCGCGTTAACATACTCCATGTGAAATCGGCGAGATCGCCACCATTCTTGAGATGGACGTTGCCCAAGAGAAAGCCACCTGTCACCATCCCCCCAACATCGGGAGCCGAACGTCGTCCAGGGAAAATCTCGAAGGGCTCGGAGTCCAGGGAGGCCATGCCAATGCGCCTTGGGGCCGACGTAAGCAACCCCTATGATGCACCACCGTTTTCAGTGTGCACCGCCTTCAAAAACTTGGCCGACCACCCATCGCGGCGGAGGGGGGCTCCCCGATAACTGGCGCTCAGAACTCTGTGGGTCTCCTGAACGACTGGCGCATCAAAGCCAGAATGCCCGCCGATGACCCTCTCGAGGCTGGAATGCTCGGCGACAGCGGAGGCGCGGACGAACCAATCTCGAGATTTGTTGGTGTTCTGGTCAGCACGGCGGCTTCGTCACTGCGAAATTGACGGCCTGCGCTCGCGCTCTGCCAAACGAGGGGAACGGGGGCCGTGGCGCCTGGCCTCAGGCGTGGGGGCGCTGGCCGCCGTCGCCACCGCGTCGTCGATGAATGCGTGGCCTGCTCCTGCTGGCCACCGTTCGCCGCGGCGATGTCCTTGGCCATGCCGTCGTTGCCCAGGGTGGCGAGCGCGACCTGCTGCATCTTGGCGCTCTAGGCCCACGAGTCGACAAAGCTGTCGTCGCCGTCAGGCATCTCCTCGTCGACGCCCGCAGGCAGCTCACGAGCAGAGGCAGCGCGCTGAGCTGCCCGCTGGTTCTCAGCCTGAGCTTTGGCCGCGAGCAGCATGTTGAACTGCATGGCGAGGCTGGGGTCGAGCGCATTGGACCGCTGCAAGAGCACCTTTTCGGGCGTGTCCTCAGCGGTCGCAGTAGCCGAGCCCGCGCCCGCGATCTGAGTCCACGCTTGCCGTGACTTCTCGGCCGCTAGCCTCTCCTGGTCGAGGAGCGACTTCTGCTGCAGCCTGAGCTGGACCACCCACTGGAGCTGCTTCCTGAGAATGTGCGCAGCCTTCTCAGGCTTGGTGCCAACGGCCTCCAGCTTGTACTTGAGCTGCCCATGTTCCTGCTGGGCAGCTCGAGACACGGCGTGTGGATCACTAGACTGCTGTGCGCGCCCATGCGCCACTTGAGCACGCTGCGCAGCCGTGAGAGAGGTACATGCCGTGCTGTAGTGCTCTTCGGACATCGCTGCGAAGGCCTGCGCCTGCTGCTTGTCGACCGCCTTGGCGCTGGATGAAGGCGTGCCTGCAGACCTCGAGCCTCCCTTGCCACGTCGCCCCCAACTGGCAGCAACAACACTAGCAGCGCGACCGTCAGAAGGCAGAACTTTCGGGAGCGGCTGCCAGCAGTGCATGCACCAGGTGTCGTGCAGCTTGTTTTTCTTGCAGTTGTCAGAAGGGCACACAGAAGACATGGCTGCAAAGGAAAGCCGTGTCCAGGAGAGAGGCGCGTCTGAGGGCGATCGTGCCGTGGGAGGTGCCCCAAGCCTCCTGAGCCCGGCAGGCTACGGAGGGGTCCAAAACGAATCGCTGATTCTCAGGCGTCTATGGCCCTTCACAACGTTTAGCCTTGAGCCAAAATGGTTCCAGATCCACCTCCTCCTCCTCATCATCCTCCTCCTCTGTTTCCCCCCTCGCGCCCCTCTCCTCCCGCCCTCCCCCTCTTCCTCCTCCCCCTCTTCCTCCTCCTCCTCTTCCTCCCTCCTCCTCTCCTCCTCCTCCTCTCCTCTTTCTCCTCCTCCTCTTCCTCCGACTCCTCCTCCTCCTCCCTCCTCCTCCTCTCTCCTCCTCTTCTCCTCCTCCCCTTTCTCCTCCTCCCCTCCTCCTCCTTTTCCTCCTTTTC